GGTTGTTTCCTGAGGAGGCCACAGAGTACAGAACCCCTGAGCAAAACTTGGCCCAAAAAGTCAGGGCCAGTGTCCTGCTTTTAAAGGGTCATCTCTTTAAAGGCCAGTGTCCTGATGCAGAGGTACAGGAGCAGGGACTACAGGGAAGGACTTTGTCCCCAAGGGAGCACCAGGGGAACAGTGGGTCCACCTATTTTCCAAGGGAAAAAAGCAGAGACTACACAAGCACACACGGTAGGGGACCTTCATGCTGGTGTAGTCCTGTCTGGGATTAGTGTGTTCTTACAGCTGAATATGCATTCCTTTGTTCACAAGAAGGTTTCTTAACATGTTTGCCTAATTTCCCAGATCCTAAGGTGAAATTCCTCAGATATTGCCAAACCATTTATTTTTCCTCCAAATGAAAATTGTTTGGATAATACAGGTTTACCTTGGCACCTAAAGATATGGCTTACTTTTCCTCCAATAAACATAGAGATGCTGGAAAAACACCCTCAAGATGAACTAACAAGATCTCAGCACTTACACTCATTCCTGGAGCTTTCTCTGTGTTAACTTATCAGTGCATTTTCTGGGTGGTAGCAGCAATGCTAGCTAAAATGTAAGCATATTTGCTGGCTTTGAAGTTTAACAGGAGCTAAATCTCTGCCTGAATTAGAGTTTAAATCCACAAGCACCATAAAGGCTTAACAGTAAGTGCCAACAGCTGTACACACTAAATCAGTCTCTCATGCCAAAAATATAACCAAATGCTAGTATGCATGGATGTAAATACTGAAATACAGGTATGTACATGTAAACAGTAGACTGAAACTTCTGTTCATTTACTTAGTACTGTCTGCTTCAAGGACACTGCATGTAAACTAGAGTAGACTGAAACTTCTGTTCATTTACTTAGTACTGTCTGCTTCAAGGACACTAAAATGTATGTTGTGGGGTGCTTTTTATAGGTTTTTGTTAATTTGTGTATTTTTTTCACAGGAGAGAATGTGACGCACTTAACTGTATGGTTAAATTTTGACAACAAAACTAAAGGCTTGCTTTGTCATCAGAAACCCCAAGATGGCAATACAGTCTTGTTTTTCTTTGCTGCTTATATCTATTATTATTATTATTATCATCACAATTATTCTATTGCAGTACACGGAACAGATTTGTGATTTTCTCATTTGCTGACATCTAAAAGCCTTGCTCATTGCGAAGGATTATTTATACAAAAAATTGAAAGCTCCAACTACTTTGATGTTAACGGAATGAATGAATACTGTGCATGACCAGGAGCTATTAAAAGATTCCATTTAATAATGTCAACCAAATAGACATCTCTGCTCAAGTTTGGCATCATTTTAAAGATGCACACAGCATGGTTAAAAAGAACTATGCCTATACATTATTTTCAGCTTAACCTACTCCCACAGATATTACCTTTTCAGGTGGCAGCCTATCTTGGTTCTCTACATCCTGATCACTTTTAAATGAACTCTCACCAAGACCCTTGTGCTTTTCAGTGTTCAGACAGCTTTGGCAGAGCTCAGGTACCACGTTTTGATGCAGTTAACTTTTGCTGCAGAGATACAGTGAGCAAGCCAGAGCGAGCATCCTTCACCTTGATGCTTGAGGAGAGAAACTGCAGATTTATCAAACAGGCTACTCCCTGTGACTGCTGCCCCTGACTTCATAAAGTCTTAGGAAAAAAAAACACAAAGGGAAAAAGCTGTGATTTCAAGTGGGTTAGCTGATGTGGTGGGACAATGAGAGATGTATGCACAGGGCTTTATGGTGATGAAAGATTAGGTTCTCCCAGGAAAGTCACTCCCACTCCTGCCCCAGCCTTGTTAAGTATCAGATTTAACAGCACAGGACTCAGGTAAAGCTGGGTGGGAGTGCAAACTTCAAATCAGACAGATTTTCTGAGCTCACTTTTTTCCATCAGTGCCCTGGAAGAAATGAATTTTCAATAGCAGGTATTATCAATGAAAAATTCTTGTAGTGTGTTAGGAAATATGTTGAGACTAATGCTGACAAGAAAACCAAAGGAATAAGAATTGCTTAATAGCGGGAAAATGTTACTAATGTTACTCAAAAATAGATAAATAATATTAGAACTCTCCAGTGTCATTATAGTGTTAGAAGATAATGAAGATATAGGCATTGATCTTTGATGGTCTGTCAAAATTTTATGCTTATATATATACATGTACACCATGTTTTTATGCCTATAAATTTGAAGGTGTGTAGCAAGCAGAGAGAGAGACAAAGTATGTCTGAGTACACTGTTTTAGAATAATCTAACACAGAAAGACAGCAGAAAGACCATTTATGCAAACAAGGCCAGAGTCCATCGTAACATTTTGCAGCCTCTGAGGACAGGGAGGGCAATGGCTGCTATAACAGCTGCTAGGTCCAGGACTCAGCACTTCCTGCTATAACAACTGGTTCAAATAATCTATAAGAAAATGGATCACAAAATTAATTTTATGAAACCATAATATTTGGAGATTAAAGCCACAATTCTCTGAATAAAATCTGTTTCCTCTGGAAGACAAACAAAAGACTTATGATTAAGCACTCAGTGCAATATCCTTTTTTCTATCTTCTCTAAACCTCATTTCCACTTTAATACAAATTGTGAAGTAGTAGTATTAAAATGGGAAATCACATGGGAGGACTGTACTGTATTGTGACTGAGATGCAAGGAGTGTTTCATTATAATTTGCTCTCCATTAGAAGAATGAATAGAACATATCCATGCAGATTACTAAAGCTACCTCAAATTACTTCTGGGAAACAGAAAACACCTTCAGAGGAAGAAGCTCATGTGGTGGATAATGTCCCTCCCAGAATAAATATTTTGAAACTAAGCTAACTAAACCCACAGGAAACCAGGAAACCATAAATTAACTTTTTTTTTCTTTTCTTTTCTTTTTCTTTTTTTCAGGATTACATGGATAAAATCATGAAGAGAGGCTTTTCTGTGACTTACTACAAAAGTCAGAGTAAACACCTACACTGTTCCTAGAGGCAAACTAATTATATTTTCCCAGAATTGGCTGACCAGGTAAGAAGTGAGAGGGGAGAAGAGACTGAATTACCCTGTCACATCAGGAGGGTAGCTAGCTAATCCTGCACTAACTGAGCTTCTGAACTACATCTGAAAGGGCAGGATGAGGTGAGTTTGCACTGCCAGTTGATATTCTCTATGTGTCGTGCATTTCTGTGCAGACTCCTGGTTTCCAGCACTATATGTCTGGCAGCCTTTAAAGCAGTAAATTTATCTGAAAATTAAGAAGAGCTTTATTGCTTAAACAAGCCCTTTTATAACCGAAACTTGCCAAAACCTCCCCTGCCCAACAATCCAGTCATAGCTGGTGCATGAAGCAGGCTGTTTGATTTAGCATAAACTGCTTTTTGCAGGGGGAGTGTGTAAAGAGGAAAGAGCACAAATGGCTCCATTTGAGTTCAGATGCATTTCTGATGGCTTAAAAAAACAGCTGAAGGGTGAAAAAATCTTCTGTGCAGCAAATGGGGATTTATAGAGATTAGAGTCACAGGTTTGGGATCCAGAAAAGCATTTGTTTTGTATTATTCTAAAAAAATGTATGGATTAATTAATGAAATGGTGAAGAGGGGAATTGCTTTTGATTTAATACATAAATGCATAACTCTGGTTGGGAGTGATGGGACAAAAGAGCCCCATTATTACCCATGGATAGCTGCCTGGGGTGCTTGAATTCAGCAGGATGGTTCAGCATTTGATGTGTGGGCAGACCTAAGGCAGTTTTTTAATGAAGTGCTGTGATAGATGCACACAGAAAATTCCTGGGTGATTTACATCCTCTGTGATACTGCAGAAGACAATAAGATTGCTTTCAGGGAGAGCGAGGAGTTTTGCCTTTAGCATTGCTCATTTTATTCAACATTATTATTTCTAATACTCTGTTCAGGAATACACGCAACTTCTAATGGTTTCACACATTTTTGAGGTTGCTCCTGACCCTCACGAACCCACAAGTGTGATCACACAGAGGACACTAATTCCCTGGCAACTTGGATGCATGCAATGTGTGCGCACTTAAATGCAAGCACTAGCAGAAATACAGGAGAAAAAGATCCATCTGAGAATCCAGTAACATGTCCTTAGCATGCCAGGTCAGCAGATGTGATCTCTAGCTTCAGAGGTTCAGAAACTTTCACTCCTGGACTTCACAAACAATTTTATTTAAATTCTGAAGTGTAAATATGAATTATTTGCATTTTCCTTTCATATTGCCAATTGAAATATGGATTTTGCTAAAACTGGAGGAAAATTGGGATGCAGGAAATAAAGTTAATAGGCACATATGGGTAAAATATACCTACTACATACAAATGTGATAAAATTGATACCAAAAAAAGTGATAAAAAAATTAGTATTTATTATCTTTATCCAGGAATCCAACATCTCATAAGGGATTATTTTATATCATTGTGTATGCAAGGCAAAATGTATTTCACCTGAGAAACACTATGAGACATAAATTTTAAATCCAGAAACAGATGCTTTTAAAAAAAAAAAAGTTGTCAAAATTCTTTTCTTCCCTTGAAAAAGCACAACCAGTTTGAAAAAACATGGTCATAGGCCTTCTGATAAAAGCATGAAGAATAGAGTCTTTTCTGTGGCTGGAAGTGTCAAAGAGGGACCTGGTCATTTGAGGAAGTCGTCTTTCCCCCTGCCTGCAGTTTTTAAGTAATACCACATTTAAATATATCAAATTAAGTCCAGACATCAGTATTTAGCATGTGTCTAAAGCTACAGTGGAAGGTCTTTCAGTCAGAGTAGCTTAAAAGAAATTGTGATATAAGTGAATATTTTCCATTTTATTTTAATGGAAAGTAGCATGTTAAAGTTGAAAACATCAAATGATGAATTGTCTTCTACTTGGGTGAATTTAGAAACCTCCCACTATCAATGAGGAGGGAAGAGAGACCGTTGTGGCATGCAAGACATTTATCAGGTTTACCTGCTTGTGAGCGTGGTCATAAGAATTGATGTGGTTGTCAAATTCCTGGTGTTTGTGGTACTGCTTGTCGCACAGTTCACAGTAGAAGTTAGCCTTCACATCCTCCAGGGCCTTGGCTGCAGCTTTCTCCTTCTCAGCGTAGTCCTGCAAAGGCAGAAGGAAAGGGAGGCTCTTCACCCGAGACCGTGAACTCCTGTTCAACAGCTCTTTTCATCACACACATTGCAAGACCTGCACAGCTGGAACGCCAGACTCCATCCCAAACATGCTAAGCAGGTTCTGATCATAAGTGGGGTTCAATAAAAGAGTTGTGTTTCTTGGGGAATTGTTCTTCCTACTCATTGTAAGTTCTGCTGTAAGGTGAGAGGAACGGGGTGCAGGGGATCCATTAGGATACTGCCTAGCCCCTGGGCAGGAAAGCTGAGCAGTGGAAAATAAGTAAGCTCCCAGTGTTAGTCTGTTAACTCAGCCCCAGATTGTCCCAATATCTGCTCTTTCAGGTACTATTGCTCACAAGAAATAAACTGGTTTAATCTGATATTATGGAAGATTTTCTTTTGTGTTCCCTTTTCTGGCTTCCATGAAATATTCACTGGGGCCAGGCAGCAGATTGCTATGGCTGGCTGAGATTTCCCTGGAGCAGAGCCACCTCTGCAAGAGGCTTTTCTGTTCTTCCTTGTCCTTCCCAACATCTGCATGAAGGGACACACCATCCAGCCTGAGCAAAGTGAAAGTAACTCTCGCTTGCCTGACAAAGGCCACAACCACTAGGAGAGCACTAGCTCATGTCCAGGCTCATGCAAACACAGCTGCAAACAGGGAAAACACAATTAGTTCCTACATAGTTGCCTTCCATATCTCCCCAGTGACACAAGTGAGTGTTTTGGAGAGTCAAATACTTCAATACATAATATTAGGTAAAAAGAGAAAATTTCAAACATAGGAGCTAAAAGTTATTGCACTCAAATTAATGCACTTAAATAAAGGCCCTGATATGCAAAATTGGCAGCAGCCTTTGTCAATCTTATTTCTTTTAAAAGTCCTTCTTTATACTGTTGTTATTATTTTTATGATACTTCCTCAAACATTTTGCATTAAAGTGCAAACTTCTGATATGGAAAACAGGAACAAAAAAAAGTTGGTAGAAGTTATTCATTTTGTATTCATATTGACAAGTTGATATTTCTTGAGTGTATGTAATATATTGCCAGGGATTGCAGTAATTCATCATTTGCTCTCCTGTTTTACTCTCCTAAAGAAATGAGCACTTTCTGCTGCCAGGCTTTCCACGCTCTGCAGTCAGTGTTGTCTGCTGTCCACATGCTTTCACCACTCTTTGCGTGACAAACTCAGAGTGCATGAACGCCAGGACATGCTGCACATCTGGGACAGCCTGCTCTTAGCACATCACACTGCCCAGCACAGCTCCAGGGAGCAGAGCAGGGTGGAGGCTGGTGTTTGGGTATGGCAGATTAATATGAATGTATATTTTGAGCCCTTCAGAGAGGGAGGGACTTTCTTAAAGAGTGACACGATTCAAATCTGAGACTTGGCCAAGCAACTGATGGTGGCTGTTAGTGTGACTCACTGAACTTTGCACAGCTCTGTGCTGTGAGCCCTTCTGTTTTGCCTCTTTTTCTCTTTACACCCCCAGATTGGTGTGAGTAGGTCTTTTTTACACCATAGTTTTAGAGGTTACCTTTGCTGGTGAGATTAACTTCATCTAAACTTGGCTGTCTAGAACTTAGGTGTATGGGTAAGACAGAATCCTAAGTTTCTTCTGTAAGAAAGAGAAAAATGCTAGACACTGCCAAACGGTTATTAATCCCATCTATTTCAAAAACCCATTTTAGGATGAGATTAAATTCTCCAGAGGTTCTATCTCTCTCCGGCCACTGCAAGGCTCTAAATTACTAACCTGGCCTACATCCTTAATTCTTGGATTGCTGAACTCAAAGATAATAAATTCTATATTGTATTTCTTTAGATTCAATTCCAAATCTCCCCATGAAAGTTACATGAACTGACCTACTTAAGACAGGAGGTCAAAGGGGAATGCTGTGCCCAGAATTTTGATTTTACATCTTATTGATGATTCCAATGGCATACCAGTTTCTCCCAGAGGGGAAACATGCAAATAAATCTCTTTCCTGCAAGCACATAGTTCAGGTGGGTCAATATACTATAGTACACTAAGAAAAAAACTAACCTGAGCTAACATTTCTCCACTTGAGAAGCTGCTCAATTATGGTAGTTAATCCTTGATTGTATCAGGGAGAAATATACTCACAATCAAATAGTTAAATAGCTTTCATTAGTTATTTAAATTTACAGAGCCCATTAAAAAGTGATACTTTTCAGCTTATTCTTCAAACCCATTGTTTTGCTAGCATTAATTATTCACCAGGCCTTTGATATAATTAAAATGCATAAATTAGAATGTGGATGCAATAGTATTAATTATGCAGAGATGTCTTCCCTGAAAATCAAGTGTTGGAGGCAACATATTTTTATTCTAAACTGGTAAAAATGTAAGTTTTGTGCTCTCTGGAAGCCAGCCAAAGCATAATTGTTTTGAGGGAGGGGTTGTGGGTTAGGGTTTTTTGGTGTTTTTTTTTTTCGTTGTTGTTCTTTTGTAGGATTTTTTGTGTTTTGTTTTTATTTTTGTTTTTTTTTTCTTGGTCTGAACTGTCAATTAAATGTTTACAGCCTGCTCCATCTTTCCTTCTGCTCAAGGAGAAGCCTAACTGTTTGGGGTGAACACACCACATCACTGTCTGTAAAGCACAGCTGAAACTGCTGCTCATGAGCATTCCAAACTGCCAACTTTATCTTTCTCAGCAGAAATTAATACAGTTCCCTGCACATAAAGATGTTTTAAAATAGCAACAAGGCAGCTCCCAGGTGCATCCTAAGATAATCACAACTACCTCCATTGCCTTATTGCTTAATTATGCTTGTCTACCATGGCAGAAGATATAACTTCCTGCTTACTTATCGATCAGACACAGGGAAATTGAATGCCACATCACATACTTTAGAAAGGTCATGGATTTTTCCTTTCTCTGCAAAGACAAAAGAACTTCTAGCACTACTGTACATTGTGCATAGTCAAATGAATTTTCACATTCAGACTTCTAATATCATCTCACTAGGATTGTACAGACTGATGGTAAGTTCTGCTTGGTAAATGTGATCACATGAAAGAAAATCTATGGAACTGCACCTGTAGAAAGCACACATGATCATGAAGGCCTGATCACACAAATGCAGACACAGGCAGGCAGCAAAGATGCACCAACATATTTTGAACTCTGAATCTTCACTGGTAAGGAATATATGTGTCACAGTCTCATAAACTTTCTTCTGGATCATATCCTCATTAATGGCACATAGCCTGGGTAGACATGTGTATACTTATAAGACAAAATAAGTTAGCAGCTCTGTCTTCGAGTCATGGACAGCAGTGGTGCAAGCTCATGTCAGGGATGATGTCATCCTTGCGGGTGAAAACTCCTAGAAACTGTGGATTAACCAGCTTCTGTGGTGCTGGATGCAGACAGTGAAGTGGATAACGACAAACAAGTGCAGAATATGTCTCTAAATGCATTTTCTCTAGAAGCCTGCAAAATGCTTCCATATTATAGATTTTAATTGCATTTACATCAATTTTACCCACAGAGGCACATAACTGTAGTAATTGTTTATATATTGCATTAATTAAAAAAAAATACTTCATTTGCATGTTAGGCTAGAAGTGCTTGCACTTAGCACCTACTTTTGCAGTATGCTTTGTATTGTGAAAACGCAATTAATGGTAGCTGACATTTCATTTTCTAATATTGGGAAAATCAATGAAAAATCCCATGTAACTGAGTTTTCTTGAATGTTGCCACTGACATCTAGTCAATTAGAAATAATTTATAAAATCTAGAGTCTGTAATAGATATTTAATAGACTGCGTGGCTGTTACAGGATGCTGATCTAGACAAAACAATACCACATTTCTTGTCTCAGTAACTGATAGTAAATATATCTGCTATGTTCAAATGGACTAAGGTGAAAAGTAGGTCACTTGATAACAATAAATCTTGAGGAGGCAATTTGCTACAAACCCATGGATTTCTATAAATATAGTGGAGTAAATGCATGGTGCTTGTAATAGAGTATGAGAAAAATATAGCATCATTAGCCCACTTTTGATTACCTATTTCTAAATTGGAATGCAAAATTAGTGACAGAGCAGCTAACTCATATTAATGCAGAGCTCAGTAAGTGACAGACTGCTTCCTCTTCGGGGATATAAGCAATCAGTTTGGTAACTTAAATATAATTTTGTGAACAAGATTAGATATGAATGCAAGTTTTAAATACTTCTGCAACTACAGAGGTGCCTCTTGGGGATTCTCAGGTTAGAGGTTAAAGGAGAAATAGGATGCATATAAGCACATGAATTAGCTACAGATTAGAGACTACATCTAAGACTTTTAAACGTATTTTCATTAGTGATTTAGATGACAAAATTAATTGTGATTATCTATGAAATCTATGAATGATACTAATTAACAGCATAGGGCATATAAATGCTTTAGGGACTAGGATTAAGATTCAAAATTACTGTAATAATCTTCAGATATGATCTTAAATCATCAAGATAAAATTCAGTAAGTTGTTTGTCAAGTGCTGCACTTTGGAGGGGGAAATCACGTTCATCAATACTAGATTAGGAATTGCTGCATAAAAAATTGCAAAGGCAAGAAAAAAGGTCCAAGAGTTAGAGTGGAAAAGAAACCAAATGAAAGTCAACAATGAAAGTCAAGGCAAATCACATTCTGACATGTTAATAGTGATGTTATAAGTAAGATGCTGAGGGTAATTATTCCACTTGACTCAGTATTGGCGAAATGCCAGCTGTAAAATACTATTTGCTACATCTACACTAGCAAATAACTTGGCTTTTAGAATCTGACCCTCTGCCATTCCCACTCCATGTGTAATAGTTAATTCCTGGACTTCTTCATTTCAGAGTTCCCTTTGAGATAAAAACTATTGCAGTTCCAGAGTAACATTTGGTGCAGGACCACACTCTAGAATCTGACCCTCTATCATTCCCACTCCATGTGTAATAGTTCATTCCTAGACTT